TTCATTTAAAAACATAACCCATCATTTCTTCAGCTTGAATTTAAAGTTATTCAATATGGATGAGTTTTTCTCATTAAATAAACACTGTGTTGGGTCATAGGATACTCTTAATGCATATTGGTTTTGGTTTATGCATGTGGTCAGTGATAAAACCCAATTATGTATGAAGACGAATGTAAATATCCGTAATACCTCTGGTTAATTACCTTTCGCAATCGTTAATAGTGGCAACTCTCACTACTCATTCCTCATGGCACACTGGTTACTAGTGGACTCATGAGTGAACTGGAATAACCATTACTGTCTTCTGTGTACTGAATACATTTATGTTTGCTGGAAAACACCGCAATTACATTTACCGAAAGTGCTGCGTAGTGTGTTATACATATGCATCGAGTTTATATTACTGCTGCGGTTGTTATTATTACCTTTTATAACACTAATGTTTGCCCCAAATAAAACAACGTTTTTGTGCTACTTTTTTATCATTTATCATAAGGGTTAAAAATTTGGTCTAATTAGCAATTGGTTTAACTCCTTATAATATAATATAAATAACATAATTATAAATTGTTTGAATGATTCAAACCAAAATATTATACCTTTGTTAGATATTAAATTGTTTTTTAAAGTAATTTGCTAATTAGAACGTCGATATGTTTTAAAAGTTTTCTGGTTCTGAATAAATTTGAAATTACATATTGGTGATTTTGATATTTTGCCGAAAGAAATGAGAAAAATAAAAAAAAAAACTGGACAAATCAAAGCCTTGGGTCAAGTTATCCAACAACGAAACACGACCTGAAGATCCTGATCCTTAAGAAGAAGAAAACGCGAAGTAATAAGTACAAGCGTGACGAGGATGACTACGTTTTAACTGGACGTCGTTACTATACTTCGACATGAATACTTGGGCGTTATTGATGGGTATGCTTCCTCTTCCTTTTGCTTCATCCTTTTCCTCTTCCTCATCTTCATCTTCATCCTTGTCCATCAACACCAGTATTATCATCATCATCATCATCATCATCATAATTTTATTATTATTTTTATTTTTATTTTTATTTTTATTTTTATAATGTATAAGCTCCAACTTGAACTTTTTACAGTTCCGTAACTCAGACAAGCCTCAACTCTGCCCGGTAATGAATTTTTCAATGCCGCGAATCGAATCGCGATTCCATTCTACATCTAGGCGTCATAGTGCTCTGTGCTCTACGCTTGCAATTTAACTGACGGAGATTCCGACTTTTAAATAAAATGAGATAAGACGGAGAGTAAACTCTCTCTCCTTCTCACGGATCTGATGGGGCACGTTCTATAATTTTCTTATCTCCGCGTGGGTGACAGATATCCCGTTGCGCATGATAATCAGGCCACCCTCGAAGCAGCCAGCGTTTACGCAAGCCCAGAAAAGGCTAAATCCCATTTACTTTAACAGAGTGTTCCTCTGTATTCATATTTAGTATTCAGTATCTGGTATTTTTTACTCTTTCTTAGAGTTACTATACTCTTACTCAACAAAACCGGCTATCGCTTAACTTACATCTTCATAGTAAAATAGCAAGTGTTGCGATGCCTCATAATCATAATACATTTTACATTGTTGGTATTATTTTATATGTACTGAGACAGGACGCCTCGTAGCGATAGCAATAAAAGCTAATACTCTGCAATATTACGATGTATCTGGACAACTTGACGTAATTCATTTACAGGTAACACTAATATCTTACTACTACACACACCATGAGATTTATTCATAAGCTATAACATCAAAAGTTAGCTCTTTTAGATTCCGTTAAAAAATTTTTATCATACTCATTTTGACTCTGCTTTTCCTTGATCCGTACAACAATGCTTGTCACTTTTATTTGAGAAGTTAGCACCAGAAAAGAACTAAGGATAAGGGTCCCAAGTGATAAAAAAATAAACAAAAGTTGAATGTCCGATGAAGTGAAGAAAATTCTTTGAAATCTGGCACAGTAATGGTAATGGGTTTAGAGTCTCAAGTGTTTAAATATATTACTGAACATCAAGTTTATCGAGCTCAGTATCCCGTTGATCGAGTTGTTCTCAAAGTCGTTCGTTAGCGCTCATCAGAATCTCATAGTCGTTCATACTGGAGTTGATGCTCCAATATAATCAGCCGTCGTTTCTCCGTCTTTTGATTCCTCTTCTCGTAACTCGTATTCATGACGCCTCACACGCAATTAAGCCAATTCTTGCTGGAATTATCGCGATCACCCGTCTTATTCTCTCCTCAAATAATCTATTGACTGCCTAGTCAAATAGTAACAAATATACAGTGATTGATAAACTAGCTGGCTGCCACCTGGAAGTCCCGTTTTTGTTCATTGATAGAAGAATTTATTTAGAAGCAACATATCATCAGATCTATTGATGTTCTTTTCAAGGATTTTTAACAATTAATTGTGTGTGTTTGTTGTGAATAAATTGTTAGTTATATAGATTTTATCGTTAAAAAAGCTCCTAAAGAGTTCAGTGTCCTCTTGTCCATAATTTTGAATCTTCCGTTTTATCATTTCTACTTGAGGATAAATAAATCTTATAGTACAGGACATGTCTCGTTGACGCGTCTCTAAATCTTGGCTCGTTAATTTGTGAAACGTCAAAGCTGTCTCATAATAATCCTCGAGACGATTGTCATAAGACTCGTTGACTCGGTGACAGTCTGAATGACGCGGAAATCTTATTATTCTCGGAAATGAATACTTGGAATTATAAACATTCGTTGTTTAATTTAATAATTCTTATTTGTTAGTTCACAACATCATCCATTTCCTTATTCTTGGCAATTAACAACGTCAGCCGCTCCCGCGGAATTTAATGAGTTCGTTTTAAAAGAACCATTTATTAATCATAACAATAATGATATAAAAAATAGAAAGATATAAAGAGCGTGTGCCAGAAGTTATACTCGGGCAATTGAACAAGTATAGGAGTCTATAAGGAGACACTTTGTGCAGAATAAAAATGAAGCTCTAGCAGAGTAATAATGATGAAGACTGGTTTTGAGACAGCAGCTACCTGACCTCATCCTTGTCTGGTTTGTCTCCTTGTCAGATGTCCTCAAGAACGTGATCAGAGTCATCCAGGATAAATACTTCCTGATGGTGATCATTATAAGCTGATCCTTTAATTTCCGGTGATGATCCACGATTATCCTCCGCCCTCTTTATCCTCGACAACAATAACTTTTCATAAAGCTATTTATCATATTTATCAACACTTTCATCTTGAGTATCTAATTCACCGGTCGTCTCTTGGCATCGTTTTTTATTTTTATTTTTATTTTTATTTTTATTTTTCTTCCCATTAACCATCATTATTTTTTGCAAACGGTTTTTCAGGTCTTAAACTTGTTTATTTTAATCTCAGCTGAATGGTCCCGCTTGAGTACATTTATGATGAGAAATGAAATAAAGTGAGTCGAGGTTGAGAGATAATATAATAATAATAATAAAAAAGCTAAATAAAAAGGAGTTATGTTACCAAAACAAATGACACTTGACAATTGGACGAAAGAGATGCTGAGAGTTGATAAATGTCGTCCACCGATTGAGGTTATCGCCAAGAGGATCTCCAGTACATGAGCACTTAATTTGAGTACGTGGTCCTACAACTATCATATGAGAGTTAAGAGTACGTGTATCCTTGGATATGTATATGTATAAATATATTTGGATGTATGAAAATGGTCTTGGAGGAGATGAGAGTGGGCTACAGAGCGTCGGTCGTTCCGCGTGGGCCGCGACCGCTGCATTCCTGTAGGTTCAAGGATCCCAGTACCTTGTCTTCTCGTTGGTGTTTGGTGTATGTACGCGTGTTCAAGATGTGTATTCCTTTGCAATGCATACTGCAAATCCAATCTATCTATCCTTTACATTTCTTTACATATATATTTGTATGGCATCTCCTGCTTGGACTTGGACGAGGACTTGGTCTCTGTCTCGGGATACCATGACTATGGATAGGAGCATCGAGCATGCTATTGAGGGTTGCCAGGTTCAATTGTCGATATCGAGAATGTTGTTTTTGCCTTATCGTATCCTTGCGTTCCATGCACCAGCTTTTTATTTGTCATGACACTGATGTTATAATTCAACTATCGCAGCCACAACAGAGTTGAAATGCTAAAGTTAACTTCCAAGTTATCATCAAGGTTTGTTAAGTTAAATTAGATCAAAAAGTTAAGCATCTAAAACTTTTACATAATAAAAATAATCTACTTTTTTGTAACCCTACTCTTCAGATATCAAGGTCCTTATTAATTTGAGCGAGAATGAGGTAGTAAATAGTGGAGTGAAAAAAGGAAGTAGGTACGCGAATAAAGAACGGATAAATTTGTTAAAGGAGTTGAGTGTATATGTATATATTAAGTTGAGTTAAAAATAAAATCCCCGATGCGGGACTGGGTAAGTACGGGGGATAAAAATGAATTTTGTTTTAATACTTAATCCCTAAGTTAAGTTGGGCAAGATTCATTGCTGATGGGTTTTCACGTTGGGTGAAATGACCCCAGGAGAGAAACTGGATTGACTGGATTTAACGCCTTAGATGCTCGAGAGAAGCTGAAGCTGAATCGAGTTTTACGTAGTGAGGTTTCGCGATGCTGAAGAATGCGCGAGGGAAGGTTACAAGATGGACGGCTTCAAAAATAGAAGGTGAAGGTGAGGAGAATAAAAATAATAATGATAATGATAATAACAATAATAATGATAATGGTAATAATAAAAAATAAATAAATAAAATGAGGAGGAAAGGGAGAATATACATCGCCTGGGGGGACATATTGCATAAATCCTCCATGTTGGCTCTCGGTACATCCCTCAAGGACGCGTGTCGAATCCGAGGGCAACGTCCTTAACTCCGAGATATGCTTTTCTCCTCTTATACGTTATTCGTTATACGTTACTTACACTGTAGGCTTCAGTGTCTTATTCTTCGCCACCACCACAAGCTCGATGTCAATGTCATTAATTCTCTGATATAACCAGCCTCTCCCTCACCAACTTAAACTCCCCCTTCTTTCTATGGCTCATGCTATAATACTATATATACATAAGTCTTATTCCCTTCCCGACCAATTAACGATCAGTGAAAAATAATCCTATTCCTCACCGCCATTCGTTTAAATGATAAGGGGAAAATTCAACAACACACTGGTCATTATTTTTCATACGTAATTTGTCAATTAAATTTAATGTCTCAAGTTAATCAATTTGATATTACGGATTATAATATATCGATTCCCGTTTGCCATTTTTTGTTTTATTCACTCAATTACGGCAATTAAATACAGCCTTTTCTTTTAAAATAATGTCCACGGTGAAAAACAAAAAGACATATTTTATTTTTATAGATGAAAAATGATTATAAAAATAAACTTACCTTTTACGACGATGACTCCGATGTTCACGAGTCTCATTCATAGAGTGTCGTCTTTTTTCACGGTTTTTTCTCCTATAACTTTTTCCCTCGCTGCCATAGACACCTCCCCTCGCGATACCGGTACCATCCCGGTGACTTTTTTCCCGTGGATGACAACTGCCCGAGCGTGATGATCGTTCTCTTGCAGACGGCTCGTTATTGCTTTTTCCAGAATCATGAGAATGCCTTCTGTGTTCACGTGGCAAACTACAATAGACGTTTTGCGGCGTGTAAATTCCCCGTGATATTACTTTTTCCCCGTTGCCACTCAACCCACGCGTTTTTAGAGGCGTCGATAGGGCGCTTGAGTTATCAACGTTATTGTTGTCTTGGACGCAAGTATTTTTTCCGGATGACCCTTTCAAGTGTTCTTTCAGCCACTTTCCGAATCCTCCACCCGCAGAATCCACTCGCGGAGACTCGCGGTTCTGTTCATCGGGTCTCTTGGCTCTGAAACAAAAAAAAAGAAAGAAATTTCATAGAAGAGTCTCAACAAATTTTATTTAACAATTAATGAATGTCTTATCAACTGTTAATAAACACTAAGTAAATTATCAAGTGTTAAAAAATCATTTCTTGTCGATGTAATATTCAATTTAATTTTAAAAGAAGAAATCATTTATTATAATTCTACGAATAGTGGAAGCTTGACCTGTAAAATTAATCATTTATTTTTATTCTGACGATCCTGGTTGGGTCACACTACCGTACAGTTATAAAATTATTGTTTTGTCATCGATCTTTGATACGTATGCAAATTTTGGAATTAATGAGACATCTTAATGCCGGTAAAAATGACGTCAAACCATTTTGTTGCATAGACGTATATAGATATCGAACCGCACAGGTGAAGCTAATAATAGCGTGTTAAAAAAGCAAAAAAAGTCACCCAGATCTTGTAACTTTTACGCACAACGGGAGTGCGTATGTGGGCAAATATGCAAAAAAGATGAAAAAATAAATCGGTCATCCCGAAGGTTAAATTCTTGAGCGACAAAGATTACAATGGTCACGTAATAACAGGTGTAGCTGCAACTCATCGAGACCTGCTGTCATACGTTATACACTTAGTACCTTTCATCTCTATCGTATGTGTTTATATTTGTATTTGTATTTATATTTATATTTATATGTATAATGTATGATGTGTGATGTATATGTAACACATTAACATTAACGGCGAGGAAGAATAACAGAATGAGTGTGTATGTAGAGGCGTTGCGTGTAACCTGTAATGTGTAACGAGACGTGGTCCATAAAAGTTAAGAATTAAATAAAAGTATTAAAAATAAACATTTTTTAACTTTAAGAAGCATCAGGTAAATAAAAGTCCAACCAAACAAGGTGAAATGAATGATGACAAGATGGTTCGACACGGCTCTTTTTTTTTACATAATGAGGAAAAAAACCAAGAGGAAATGAAATACTGACTTATAAAAATAGTCATTTTTAATTTAGTTCATAAATGATCGAGATCATTGTGCATAAAAGGAGTGCTAATTTTATTTTATTCGTTTTGAGGCTGGATATTATATTATATATTTTATAGAGGACTAATTTACTGATGGTATAAGAGTAACTTAATATGGAAGTATAATGGGCGATCAACGTATTATATGAAAGCGTAGGTTGTCCATAGCATTAAAATGACCTTGCCAAGGTCAGATGTATTTCTGGGCAACTCCGAGAGGTGGAGCCAATGAATTAGTGTCCGATTTAAAAGTTAAAACCTGTGTTACCGATAAATTATTACAATCTATGATAAATTCTGTATTGTATATACTAATAATAATTTCTTCTAAACAAAGATTACGGCAGGAGTATTAAAGCTGGTTTTTTAAATAATCAGAGCATGAATTAATTTTGTTATTATGAATGTAAATAAAGTAAAATATAATGTTGGCATAAAAGTAAATTGATTTTGGAATAACATTACAGCGTTAGTGTCCCCGTATCGAACGAATTGGTAAATCGAACGGTACCTGGTCGCTGGTCAGACTCGGTATCATCCTAAGTGAACAAACTCGTCTTGTTTAAATTCACGTGAACAAGGAAGTCCAAACCGGCAACAGCAGAGTCAGCCTACCAAACGAGCTACGGCTGGTCCACCACTTGTTGATGTTGATAATGTAAGATATATATATATATATATATATATACATATATACATATATACATATATACATATTATTCCAGCGGGTTACGCCACTGTATTAAATTCCGGTTTTTAAAAGAGCTACTCGCTCCCCTTTCGTCTCTTTTACACAGAGCCTTTCTCCAGTGTACGGATATATACTGTATAATACATATAGTAGACGTGGTACACCACCAACATATAAATATTCCGAGGGTCCTTCTTTTATCTTCTTCCCTTTTTGTTCCTTCGTTATCTCTTCATGACTTTCTTCTTCTTTTAAGTACTTTTAAACGTTTTTGTACCGTCGAAAAATCGTATTTCAACCACCAAAAAACAACAACGATCAGCTAAGGGGGAAAGAACTGACTAAATAACCGAATTCAATTCAATAATAAAGTTATCATATTGATTAGGTACTTCCTGTAGTCTTATTTTCATTAGCTTTCAATAATGTATTTTTAATAAATTATTTTATGGTCGGAGAATCTCGTTAAATTTTTATACTTTAACTTATATTATAGACATCGACAAAAAACAAGTTTGTTCCTCGAATTATACATTTTTAGACAATTATCGAAACAAGTTTTCTTGATAGTTGTAATATTAGGGGGTTATAAAGAAATTTTTACATTTTAAGGCCCTAATTACGTAAATTTTTTATGCACTGATAAAAAAATTAATTTGAGTCAAAAGAAAAAAATCTTGAACCAAAAAAGTCATTTTGAAGAAATATAATGATAATGATCTTTGTACTTTCCTTAAAAATCAATTAAATTGTTTTAAAATATATTAATGAAATTTAAAATATCCAAGTTGTACTATCAGAGATAAAATATCGAAATACATTAGTTAGCACAGCGGTCACGCACATTATTTAATGTCTCCGAAGTTATTATCATTTTAGTATAATTCAAAAATACCGTTTAATTAATACATTCTATTGATAAACCGGAGTTAAGTCTGGGACTAACAGAAAGAGAAGGATAAAAAATCGAAAAAAAAGTAGCTAATGAATAATGCTAAAGATTTTAGCGGTCTGAAGCACTGGCTCTGGGACTGGGACTGGGACTGTGACTGGGTACTGTACCAGTGTCCTTGGATTTGATCTTCACCACCCAAGGATTATTTTAATTGCAGAACTGCTGGCCACGGTTCGTTCCCTCCGAGAACTCACCGTCCAAGCACTCGTCGAGTCACGCTTTAAAGGAGTACATCCAATCCAACCACCTGAATATTTGCATGTGCAGCACTCCTTACTCCTTTTCTCAACGTCTTAGTCTTAGTCTTACTGGAGGTATTAGTCTTGGTCTTGGTCTTGGTCTCAACTCAGTCGTCTCCAATTCTCTTTAATATATTTTTTTTAAACTCCCTTATTTGCACCGACAAGCATTTCGTTTCGTCCACGCCTCTCGCTCGTTCTAGTTTATTTAGTGACGTGTTACCTGGTTTCTGCAGTAAAAAAACCCCGATATACATATAAATATAACCACCTCGTCGTGTTCAATTTCAATCCCTTGAGGACTCGTTTTACTCCGCTCTTTCTATACTACACTCAGTACACACTGTACTCTGTATTCTGTGAACAAATAAAAAAAAAAATAAAAAAAAACCCTGACACGTTCGAGTTTAAATATGTTCAGGCTAAATTAAATCGATTCTCGACAAAGTACCAACTACCAAGTAGGTATACAAGGATCGATATATTGCATGATCAAACCCACACACTGTCCATAAGAATCGTTATAAACGATGAGAAAAATATATATTATTGAGTTGTCAATTGAAAATTGCAACATTGTATATCGCTTAATCTCATCATATAAATTATCTTTTTTTTAATATATAATATTACGCCCACTGGTTAAGTTAGTTGGTTCATTTCCAGTTATTTGATTACTTCCTAATGGATAATTGCAGGACTCATGATGCCAATCATTAAAGAGCACTTAACTATTTAGAAATATGACTTACTAATTATTTTATTGCTTTATTCTTGTTGATTCATGAACCTCAGATTGTTTGCATACCATTTATTATTTTCTTGGATCAAGAATATTATTTTTAAATTGACTAGTTTTTTAATAATAATTAATCAGATATTGTGAATTATCAATAGAATATTTTATATTGCCAATAAAATGATATTGAGCCATATAAGATTGAAGTTTAAAACTTTTTAACCCAACTACTATTTGGTATTGCTTAACCAAAACCATTTACTTCTTAGCGCTTTTTCCCATAAGCGGGGTGTTTCCTTAGAAACAATCGAACCTTGGACCCCTTTTAAGAATCAGTGGCAACTTATCGATATTATTGAACCGCTCAAGCGTAGGAAATGGATGTGACCGCTGAAGGAAAATTACAATTGGCATTCTCTCAGTGCATTATCCTCTGACTTTTTCAGGTTGGACTTGAATCCAATTGTAATGTAACCCAGCAACAAACACCTTGGAATGCTTTTGATGTACCTACAACATGTACCCAGTCAATAGAGCAACTATTTCTCACTTCTCACTTCTGAGTTGGTTTTGCTTTTATACACGTAATATATTTAATGGTATCGTAATAAACCAGCTCTCTTTACTTTACAATCCGCCGATTTCGTCCCACTCACTAATTTAGTGTCAGGCATTGTTCTCGATTTCAAAAACTAAAAAACTCATTTACGATTATGATACTCAACAATGTGCCAGCCTTTGTAAAGGTACCTTTATATTATACATTATATATTATATATATATATATATATATATTAGTTCCCATGGTTTTAAAAGAACTCATCATAATGAGCAAATATTATACTTGAAAAAAAAAAACTATATATATATATATATTTATATATCCTGATGCGAGACATTAAGCTAAGTAAAGGTGAAGAGAAGTGAAGAATTTACTAAAAATACAGCACATTTAGACGGATAGTTTTTGGTTTTTAGTTTGAAAAAGACACAAGATGAGTATAAGAGTTTTGTTGAGGGTCCGGTTTCGCCGAAAATGAGAGTGAAAGTAAACTCTTGTCAATATTAGCGTTGAGTCAGACCTACTAATGTAGTGTAGTAATCTTATAATGTATATATAAGTTACTTATAAATTCTAGATGATGAGAACAGTGTTATATGTTGTATTGCACGATATACCCAATATAAATCCAAGTACGAGAGAACGATAGCAACTATGTATATTATATAGAATATAGATCACGATATATATACCTGTAAAATGACTATGACTGGAATAAATCTCGTGGTTTAAGTTATTATACATTATATAGAGAGCTATTTTCTTTGTTGAGCTCCGATGAATTTTTCAGGTATATAAACTACAATGTTAATGTTCATATATGTATATTTTATACAGGCATAAACTCTGAGTCATTTATCCATAACAACGACAATGAACATTATTCATGGTTTAATTTTTCAACTAAAAGATAAATTTAAAGGCATCATGATTTTATTCCAATTCATATCAATCTTAAACGTCCAACACACGAAGGTCACGGTGGAGGTGAAGAGATTTTACTTAACGGTATCTTTTAGCTGGATGGCTGGATGGCTCGATCGCTCGATCGTTCGCTCGACTCACTGGATATGCTCCTCCATCGTTTTCGAGATTCTCGATACTTGATTCTTGATTCCTGATGCTAATACCCTCTTTACAAGGAGGATCATTACGGCGACGGGCTGGGACACCAATCAGCTCGTTACGTCACACGATCTCACGTTAATGATCCGGCAGACTTCAAGACGTCCAGTTTTGTACTATATATTTTTTATTTTATTTTATTTCTCAGTTTATAAATAAGTGCATTCATGTTAAAAAGATATATAAGGATGGAAGGGCAGTTAAATTAACGTTTGAGGTTTCAGTCTGTGTATTTAGGACTACTAAGAACAATCGAGTAGGGGATTGTGGAAAGTAAAACCTACAATAATCCTTTTGAA